CAACATAGCACAACATAACTCTGGTTAAGTGAGGAGCATCCTACTCCCATTCATTTTCTCCATTCTCAATATCTCCCTATCTACAATACATATCAGCCTATCTTTCAAGCAGACATGTCACACCACTACTTAAGGAACCCTAATCAATTCTCCTTGTCCGTCAGAAAAACAGGCCTGTTGCTCTCATATCCTCCCAGTCCAGAATACCGTCCAAACGTCTCTCACAGAATGGTGCCCTTGCTCTGAAGCAGTCAGGCTTCAAGCCTGGACACTCAACAGAGACTTCTTTCATGTCAGTTACAGAGGCTTTTATACTGTATTAGAGCTACCTCTCTCTCCACTGATCAGGTCCTTGTCGAGCTCTCTTTGGTGCCTGAGTTACCAGATCCTCATCGGTACTCTTAACAAACTTGGCATTAATGGCACTGCCCTCAGTTGGTGCACATTTTACCATTCAGAAAGGTCCTGCTAAGTGTCACAGAGAGATACTGTAGTGTTTTTGTATCACAGGAATGATCAGCTGGGGTCCCTGAGATGCCTCTCTTCTCTGTATATCAGTTTGTCCCACCATATCCTCACATTGTTTTGTGATGATTCAGAATGGTTATGTGCTAGTTATGTGATATTATGTGATATATGAATTCAGATTGATTACATCTGTCATCTGACATCTCTTGTTGCTTTCACAAAGCTGCAATTGTATTGTGTTTTTTCTGCATTTCTCTCTTTTACAAAAAAGAGAATTATTTCAAAAGGCTGATGATACCCAAATATGTCTTTCCAATCTTCTGACACATGTTCAGACCACATCTCATCTGTGACTCCAGATTTCTTCTGTCCAGAGGGTCCACTCATACCTGACCTACAGTACTGAACTCATCCAGGTATTTCTCATCTCGTGGCTGGACAACTGCAGCTCCTGTTGGGACACCCGGCCTGTATCATCAGACCACTCCCACTACATATTCATCAGCCTCACAAGACACACAAAAGCTCTTCCCCCTTCATAATCTCTCTCCAATGGCTTCTGGCCTCTGGTCATTCAGATTAATGCTTGCTGACATATCCTTGTTGCTTTCGTAAAGCTGCAATTGTATGGTGGTGAAATATTTTTCTAAAAAAAAAGATAATTATTTCAAAAGGCATTTTCAATCCTGCATGTCACATATATTTGAAGTAGTTAAAAAGTGTAGAAAATGATTTTATACATTGTTTAGCATACTTGTCAAGTTATGTACTGTAGCAACAGAGGCCATCTGTATTGTTGAACCACGTGTTCACCTTTTACACTCTAAACACTGGTGTGTCCAATCCTGATCCTGGATTGCTGGTGTGGCTGCAGGTTTGCAAGGTCTCTTTAAAGCAGCAGGACCTGAAGAACTTGGGGAAGCTGTTAAATTATACCAGTTTAAGTTAGTAAGCAGATGACTACTTTGTTAACAGCTGTGTCACGACCACCAGCCAGCAGAGATCAACGCATAAGCGAGCTAATCAGTACCAGCAGCGGGTTACTATTAAGAAGTGCCGCCGCACGAGTTAACACACCTGCAATTGCTCTACCGTGCGGCACGCCGGGTTATTTATACTATTCTAACCTACTTCCCGTTGCTCGGTATTGAGTTCACTTCTTGTTGCTCTGCCTAGCGTTTCTTACCCTTTTGCCTTCCTGGAATTCTGTCTACACCTTTTGCCTTCGGACTTCGGATCTCGTCTTGCCCCTTAGATTGTTTGCTATCTGTGCCTATTTCGGATTTGACCCTGCAGCTCTCTTTTCGACCACAATTCTGTCTCACATTTTGGATTGTTCGCCTTTACCGGATCTCGACCTGCCTTATGCCTTCGGACTACGACTCAGTTCCTGGTTTTGCTCTGTACGTTTACTTACCTCCCTATGACTCCTGCATCTGCATCGGATCCTTTTCACCTCTACAGAGCAGCGTTACAAGCTAAGGTGCAATGAAAACACTCCAACTCACTGGCTTCCCAGAGCCACCATTGGACATCCCTGTACTATGCTTTAATATGAAGAACAGTGTACAGAATATTGAATTCTGACAGCTTTGCAAAAGTATTTTTATGTTGGCTTCAAAACAGCCTTTATATTGCAGTGAGCGTGATGTGAACTGTCAAGAAATGAAAATTCATATAATTTACATGAATGATCAAAATAAATTATGCTCAGTATCCAACACCACCACCAGAACTACTGTACTGTATATATCAACTTCTGGAAGTCATTTTTTATAGTAGCTTCATTTCAGAGGTACGGTATCTACAGTGTTTCTGTCTTTGTCAAAATAAAACACAAAATAAGGCCACAACCTAAAGGAAACAACTGGGAGAAATGTATAGGGAAATGGGCAATATTTTTGATATACTGTATGTTCTCCTATAAGTAAAGATGGAACTCTCCTGGTTTTTGAGAACAAAGAAGCAACTCGCAAAGCTGCAATTACATATTTCATTTCTTTTCAGAGCATGAAAGGTCAAAAACAGTTCGGCACATCATATGAAGATGCGTCAGAAAAACAAATACTGTAATATGAATTTCTTTTTTCTGAGTTTGAGGCGGATATTTACCAGGCAGCAGGTGGTCCTCTCCTATACAAGAAATACCAATTATATACTCACTGGAGTTGGGACCCTGAAACTGCCCACGTTGGTCTCAGAGGTGTTTCAGTGTACTTGCAGAAAATGTTAGGTTCAAGTAATTAACGAATTATTATTATGGGGATGGAGGTTGGAGAATCACTGAATCGCCTAGTTGAAAAGTTTTCAGAAAGGTACACAGTGCAAATTGGCAGTCTGTAATCAACTGGATTAAAAAATTTGAATGGTGCCTTAGAGGCGAAAGATCTATATTATCTGAAACAATTACGTCTCGCATTATACTGTAGATTGGTTTAGTTATTGATCAGAATGGAGACAAGCTTGTCAAAAGTGACTCAATATCGTTGAATTTAATGGCAAACCATTGTTATTTAGCTTAATTACCTACTTCTGTTCTTAAACGCTGAAGCAAAGTGGTCTTAGAAGTGAGATTTTACCATGCTTGATGTAGTTTAACAGTTATTTAATTAGATATACAGATATACTTATTTAATAGATTGTAAAAGTATCCAATGCAAATCCAATGGTACTACATTTGTGACAGGAATTTGCATGATTTTCTTTGGCACAAAAACCTTAATAAAACACCTCATTATACATTAACTGATGTCAATGCTCTGATAGAATACACAAGGCACAGCCATTTTCAAAGAAATATGCAATGTTTTTTCAAGTCTGATACCCTCATGAAAATATTTGTTCAAATTGAACATTCAGTCGATTACAAAGGTGTGAAGTAACAAATCCAAACTACATGGTATGAATAAACCATAAAATGTTGTGTTGTTTAAGTTTTTATATGTTTGAAAATAACAATACATATATTTAGCACCTTTTATGTGTACCCCTTTCTTTTCTGTACTGAGGGACAGAAAATGTTTCTTCTGCCTCATACGTAGGTCTAGAATTCTTCTAGTGCTGCTAATACTTGATCATCAGCAATAGGTCATTCTCTGCCAAAATATTAAACATGCTAGTGAGGTAATCTGTCAGTATTGCTTAGCAGTATGTTGAGCCTTTATGTTCAGGATCAAACAACTCAAAATTCAATATGCCTGCATTATGGTTTCTGGAATGTCACCACAATCCTTGGAGGCCTAGTGCTAGTCTTAATTTAGGGATTTATTACTGTTCCCTAGGGCAAAAAAATAGTTTAAAATTAAGTTATAGTCCTTTATAACAAAGTTCTTTTTTTCTCTACAAACAAAATTCTGAGTAAGACAAAACAAATCTGTGGAAGTTCTGAGAATGCAGTGCATTGTCTGGGATAATTAATATTTTTAAAATATAAACAAATGATCATTTGTTTTATGGTAAGACATATTCCATTCAGGCCAACTGTGTTTGCTCTGTGGGGATAGAAGATGGGCAAAGCAAAGGTTTTTTTTTCATTTTGGAAACGAGAGCAGAACAATGCACTTGAAGTGGCTTGTTTTCGTCTGAGACGTGCATCAAATATGCATGACATCCATCGCATGCTCATAAATGTAAGTGGAAAGGGATTGTCTTTTCATGTAATCAACCTCTTTTTAACAAACAGTTTATTAAAGGAAAGCAAATTAGCCTTTTCCTTTGCAATGTAGTATAATTAATTTCGACACATGCAGTCTGAACTGAGCACCGGGGAATTAGTTTATTTCCCACTCTGCTACCTTTTTTGTGAGGTGAAAATTTGCACTGAATTCTGAATCTAAGAAGAAAAACAAATCTTGAACAAACAAGACCACACTGAAAATAACATTTATACCTGGCTTTTTAAGAATTATAAGGGTATGCTTTAGTAGTAGCTAATGACAAATGTTTTTTGTAGTCAATGAGAAAGAAACCCAGTTCATTTTAATATAGATCTCCTTGTACTTTTACCCTAAAATTATGCAATGCAGCTGGGACTATGAAGACAGTTTCTGTAAGGTACTGCCAAGGGCTACAACTTTGCAGGGAAATGCCACTGTCTCCGGAGATCCTGACTACACTGCTCTCTGCACAGGTCCACATCTCTCAGCTTCTTTATGGCAGCTGATTTTGAAAGGGAATGTACAGTACTTTCTCAGTTCAGAAAAGGTGGAAAGGCAATTTTATTATTCAGGGCATGAGGGTGTACTACTGAAGGTACAATACACATTTCTTGTCACATACCAGTGATGTCATGTTTCTCCCAATAAATTAACTGCTTACCCTGTGAGTGTGTTTCTTTTGTAGTAGCTTAAGCCTCTTTCTTTTCCCCCCAAAAGTTGGAAAGCTGAAAGGGAAGAAACCTTTTGTTTAATTTCTGGAAAAAGTGGAAGAGACTCTTGTCATGTACAGTGAAAAAAACAAGCAATAAATTAAAATCACTTTAGTCTTTTTATAATTGTTGTATACCCTTTTTCACATTTTGACATCAAAGAATAAAAGTATTGCAATAGAAGGCATAAATACCCCATTTGAAAATGACATCTGTCTGATGCCGTATGACATAGGCAGAGCATCCTGAACAGCACTTCAGACTACTTACTGGAAGAATCAGAACATGCAGGACCCGTTCCAGAAGTGTAGATTTATAAAAAACCATTAGACCTCAAAAAGTAATGTTTGGTATATTTACTATTTGTAGTAGTTTACATCCTTTACCAAATGAATTGTGACTCAATTTTCAAGGTATGGATTAATGATAATTTATATGAAGTGGTTGATAATAAAGTTTCTTAATAAAGTGTTCTTTATATCTAGAGATGGCCTTTCACCTTTCATTTGCTTTATATACAGACTAACAGATTCAAAGTATTGCCTTCAGCTACATTGTTCAAAATTTAAATAAGGTTTAAGCAGCATTGTCTAGAACCATGAATCTCTTGTTTTAAAAGATGAATTAACAAAATATAATGTTCTGTGGGTGCTCCAAGTAGTGTGACATGGGATGAATATTCCAGTAAAAAAGAATTAATTTTTTTGATTTTATTATTAAGTTCTGTTTTCAATTAACATTGCAGGAACAGAAAAAGAAACAAAAACAAGATAGACAAACAGAACCTTATCCTTTAGTTGCAGAATTGTGAAAGTCAAAGTGCCTAGGATAATTCTGTGCTGTATATTATAACAAAAAAAACTATTTGCCACTGAACTAGAGAATGCAAACATTGGTTTATGAATGTGGCTAGATTGTCTTCTTATCATTTCCATTCTCATATTTACACAATTGGTTAAAATAAAATTGGTGTCTCTGTATTACGCAGGTACAGTACACCTACAGTAGGAGTGTTTTCTGCCTGTACATACAAAATAGAATTTAGTATATTTTAGTGCATCTTAGCAACCACTGTGAAAAATACAATCAACTTTACCCAGCAGCCTGAACACACATGAAAGCAATTTTGGGAAAAAAACAGAAGAAATAATAATAAATGTTTTATGTTTCCCCAATGTCATCAATCATAACCTCTTTATGCTACCTAGAACCCCCAGCTGGGAGTAACAAGCCTGTTTTAATTCCAGGAACCTCTTAACTGGTGTATTCATTGGGTTGAGAATTTTGAATAACTTTTTGGATCAATTACTAGGATAGAACACCAGTTGAAATTTGTTGAACTGTGGTCTTTAAAAAGAGGAAAATGTTCAGAAAGGGTTCACCACCTTCAGAAGGGCTACTGTATATGAACTATTATGAGCATTTCAAGAATTTTAAGGACTTGCAGCACTCCGAGTATGCTGATTGTAATGTGTCCATGACTTGGTCTCACAGGTGCATTGGGCATCAGTACTCTCTTCAGTGCTCTTTGTTACTTACCACCACGGCATAGAACCGACAAACACTGACATCTTGCCTGATGAGCTCAGAAGCTCCTCTGGTGTCTTCTGCAGCCCAATGTAATATCTAAAGATGGTGTACCAGTTTTGCATTATGATTATTTTTTTCTTACATTACGTGGGATAAAAGCATTTTAGCACCTAAAATCTCACTTGGGATTGGTTTCCTACACATGACTCAGCATTTAGCATGCCTTGACAATACAGACGCATTAACCAAATCAACAGAGGGCTGTATTCACCCTCATCTTTTTCAAGTTAGAGATAAATTATGTACGTTCACTCCAGTCTTGCCTGAAAATGTTGAATGAAGAACACTCAGCCGTGAAAGAGAACAGACAGGTGTGCATAGCTGGGAGATTGGATAATGCAAACCTCTGCCTAAGAACATCACAAAGTCATGGCAGTTTGAAAATGTACAGATAGGAGCAGTTGTAAGTGGATTAAAAGGGAGGCACTAAATTGAGGTCAAGGATTTTAATGTGCAGTGAAAGTGGTTAAGGAAACTAATAATGACTGTTTCTATAGAGATAATCATTTTTTTCCAGAGTGTGAATTGTGTTTTTTATATATAGAACACATATCTAGTTGCTATGCATACTCATAAATTACACCTCAATAGGTGATTAAAAAAAGTCTTTCAAACACAAATTTACTTTTTCCCTACCATGATTTAACATGTGAAAATCATTCTTAGGAAATGATATTTCAAGGACTTGACCAAAACATCAAAACATATTTACTTTTTATCTTAAATTAGAACGAGGACATTTAGTGAAGGACTCAAAATCCACTTTGTTGGCTTAACGATCTCGCAATCATGTTGCAAAGTAGTAAATGCACAAAACTGGTATAATGCATGTATCATCTTTCATTTCACTTGTGTTGTATGAAGTGTGAATAATTATGACTCTCCAAGCAAATGCATTTGTTATAAAAATATACTTTTTTTAAAATAATCTACAGAAGTTTTAGGTGAGAAGTTTTACTATCAACCTAAACAGCAATGCTGTTTTTAATACAAAATATTAAGATTTTGAGACAGCTGTTGCTCAAATATACCGTCAGTTAAAACAAGCTGGAGGGAGATGAATTCTAGCACCACTCCCCAGCACATTTTCAAGCTCTTTCATACGGGAAGAAATATTACTTTCAAGCTTCTTTACCTTTTGCATAATCTATTTTTTAAAGTAGTCACTTAAAACTAGATATACACACTCTACATACGCCAACAAAAAAGGATGTTGCTCCTTCGAGTAAAACACAGCTTCGTCCAGGCAATCAAAAAGATGTTAACAAAAAAAAAATCAAACTGGCTCTAAACTACAGTAAGTCAGGAAATAAAAATACAACAGTCCATTCTACTACCTCACAAACCTGCTGTTCAATCTCCATATTATAAAACAAAACAAACGAAACTAGGAATATTTAGATTTGGATGATATGTAAAACAAAGTAATAATGCATAATAGAGGCAACAAATGTGAAAAAAAACAGGAAGACACCGATGCTACAAAGAAATTGCAAATATATGTACAAGACCCTGTTTTCCTTGTGTGTGTTTTATCTGTGTGTGGATCTGTGCATGTGTGTGGATTTTTTTTATTTTAGTATTTTTATTTTTTTTTCCAGTGGATTGTGGTGCAAGTACAACAGCAGCAGTCAAGGTCCCAGTTCTGAGCACCAGGCTGCAAGTTTCCATGAACGTCAGGGAAAACCAAGTGATCGCCTATCTTTGCTGTCACCAAATGACGCTGGATATACTGGTCTCTCGCGGCAGCAGGGGCAGCACTGCACTGTTTGTATGAGCCTCCTCCAGATTCTGTTCCCTGGGCGATTTGGACTGTGGTCTCTGCCCGTTAATGAGTGTCATAGGGATGTTGCAGTAGGTATGCTGGTTTCCCAATGTGGTAAGGGGGGGCAAGGTGCCAGTGGGAGGTACGTCATATTCGTAGCTGCGGTAGTAATGTTTCTGCCGCATTTGGGTGTGGTAGGTGTTGTGGAAGGTGGAGCGCAGGTCTGGATGGGCTGTGGCAAGAGCGGTGGAGGTGGCAGCCGCCATGGAGATGGCGGACACCGTCTGGAGTTCGCCGAAAGGCCCTTGCTCGCTCACGTCCAGCACTTGCTCGTGTGCAAGGATGGGCTCTATTCTCTTAAAGGGCATTTCATACTGTAAGTGTTTCCAGAACTTGGAATTGAGCTTGTTGCACTTCGGTCCGTGCCACTTGATAACAGTCAGCAGCTTGATGGTATGCTTGAGGGCCTCCACCTCCTGGTAGTTCATTATCCCTCGGAGCTCAGTGCATTCGATCAGAATGACCTTGATTTCCCCCGTGACCAGCATGTTGCGGAGTCGTGTCTCCAGCTCGAAGATGCTCCAGCCTCTCCTCACCACATAGCTGGGGGTCATCACTATTATTAATCTCTTGCTCTGGTCCACGCACCTGGCCACGTCTTCGATGTACGCTGCGAAGAAATGATAAATAAAAAAAGATGAAGTAACGCCTGACCTCTTCAAGCTGGCTCAAATTGTTTTGGAGAAGGTGGAAGAACGAAAAGCTTGAAGCTTTTCTTTATAATTTTTCAAGCAGATAACTTAACGGTAAGGTTTGAAGGTTAAAGTCACACAAGACAAGGTGGACATGCACTCACAAATGCAGTACTTAGCAGAATAAAGTGGTACAGAATACAGTCTGTTTCAATTTTTTAAACTATCGTAAACATACCCACAATAGCTTGGATATAATGGGAATTTCTGTTTTTTTTTTCTTAGTACCTGGAACATGTCTCAAGGCTGTGAACAATTTATATTTTAATATTTTAATACCTTGTCACAAACCTTATAAAGACTTCTAAAGACAGCCAAGCTTACCTCAGTAAGACAGCTACCTAATGTGTGCCCCTGATAAGCAGAGTGAAGGAACTACAATATGTGATAAAAATGAAATGTTACTTCTGTCAGTTGCATTCTGTAACACCCTATTCAATACCATATAATAGTAATGTGTTTCAAGAAAATGTATTATTGTGGTGTTTGAAATCAGAGATGATGCATTGATTCTTAAAATATACTGTATAACAGCAACAGTAAGAGCAACTACACATGCTAATTAGATACTAGTCTGGTAAAATACTAATAAAAAACAACACATTCTCAATAGTTACTCTTCATACAGTCTAACTAGTTAAATTAGTAGTGGTTTCTAGTGACCAATGGTTTTGTGCAGCTCTGTCTTTTATGTCACAAGCTCATTCTGAGGTACAGATAATTCCAAAAAAAAACAGACATATACAGTATGTTCACATAGCCAAAGAAATGATAAATTCCAACCCCAACCATTCTAACTGAAATAAAGTTTAAATAGAATAAAAAGCTACTTTAAGCTAGTTGATCAGAGCTCCAATGTAAAAACATTCCATATATATATATGCCTTCAGATGAAATCATTCTTTATTGTTTAATTGCTGCCTTGTCAGTTTTACAAAACTTACTACTTTAAGTACTTATAAGGTACATTAAAATGATAAATATATCTTTTTTTATTTCTCCAGCAATACAAAAATGCTGAACATTTAGTTATTAAAGCCCTCTGCTTGAAATTGCTATAATTGGTTTTGCTTCTAAACTAATCACAGCAATGTTAGTGGAGATGGTAAAAGAGAGTTCAACCATCAAACACAGCTTTATTTCCAGCTGTCTTGCCCTGAGAAATTGGCTTCTGGAGATTGTTTCATTTCGGAAATATAGAGAACAGAGGCAAATGCCTTTTCCTTAACAGGTTAAAAGCACTTCTGTTTTGTTTTGTTCAATCAAAGAATACTTCAAATGAGATGCCTTGTTCTCGGAAATCATAGCTTTTTCAGCAGCTTGTACTACATAGTTTGGGGGCACTCTCAAGCAGCAAATTTTTTATTTCTTATTTTTCATCCCTGCAGACTACTGAGCTGTTTGGTTTTGTACAAAGAAAACTGATGAATATGAATGCCAACAACAAAGGAATCACTTTGAAACAATAAGTCAAATACCCCTGGTTCGTGTAATTGAACCTTATGTTTACAAACACGTAATTCAGGACCCTGTTCAGCTTTAAACTCAGTGGGGAACATTGGTCCCAAATTATCTGTTTATTGGGAAAGCACATTACGGTTGCTGACACAAGTGAAAATTTTATCACAGGCAGTCAGAAAGGCTGGGTAAAAAATACCTCTAAGCAGTCTTGGATCCTCGTAATGATCATTGGTGAAACCTAAACATAAATATTTTAACATTCAAACTATGATCAGAAGATTGCAGAAGTGCATCAGAGAAATAGCAAGGGGACTTACATAACACTGAAATAAACTATGCTTTTTCTTGTTCCTTTTTCTCTCTCTCAAGCACACAGCCCTGCCAATTTATTGCTTAATGTGGGATGATTTGCAACAACTGTTCTAAAGATTAATATACGGTTTTAATATCCAATTGTATTCTAAACTACCGTGCTGTATTTTTGGAATTCAAAATGAATGAAATTAGAATCTGGATAAATGTAGTGTAAATAAATGTAGTGTAATAAAATCTACCTTCATTCTTTCCTTTGTCTGAGCATATCTACAGTATTTCACATTATTTTCTGAAACTCTGAAAAGGACAATTTAATTTATTAAACATCGAAATGTCAGGTTCATACTTATTTCATGTTTCTTCTATCATGTATGCTAGTAAATTTGTTTACCTGCTGAACTAACACCCTCAATACAGTATGTGACGTGAAAAACTCAGCTCCATTATGCTTAGGATGGTTGTGCAAGTGATTCTGATAAAACACTTTATTTAACACATTATACAGTAAGTTAAGAACTGACTGGGATCTTTTACAGAGGAGACAATATAGTTCTAAATAATGAGTAATATATTTTATGGTTCAATACTCACCCCATTGCAAATGTTTTAGACATTTTGCATTCTCCTACTCTTCACTCTGTGTTTTTTTCTTCTTTATGCAGAAACACAGTTCTAAGGCAGCCTTAGTCATTTTGTTTGAAGCTACAGTAATGGTTATAATGGTTAAAGTATTCAGATGAGAGAAGGTCATTTGTTGTATTTAGCTCTTGCCAGCTCTGATATTTTATTTTGATAAATCTGAACTTTGTACTACAAAAAGTAGCCTTAGTGATGTGTAGAGAGGAAAGAGAAAAGTCAGTGATGACAATGAGTCAATTAGATTTGATGGGTAAATGTGACGGACTACAGTAGCTCTTACGACTCTTCATACTGGCTAATTGTGTGTAGCTTACCTCAAGTTCATGTGATCGATTATTGGAAGACTGAGATCATTGCATAATATAATCAATATCTGATTACCGTTTTAGTGTAAGCACCACTTTGTACATTCAGCTGTCTCTGGAAGTGAGACATGAATACACAGAAGACTTAATGAATATAAGTAAACTGAATCCTAACAATATCATTCAAAGTAAAAATCAAATTTCCGACAAATTTCTTGAAAGGATTCTAATTATAATGTTTGTAAAAGTAAACCAATCATTCTTCCCATTATTAGAATAAAGACTTCACACACTATTCCCACTTGGGGTGTTGTAGCCACACATCCCGCATTAAGAATAACTGTCCCCAGAAAACCACACAGATAAGTCACATTGCAAGTACTGTGACTCACTTGCAAAAAGGCAAAGCAGTGTAGAACATGACAAAGCAGAGACAGGCAAGGTTACATACAGGCAAGGATGATAACAAAAACAATCACGAGATAACTATGGGAAAGGAGAGTTAAGCAGCTACACTGCAATGGGCACCCTTGTTAACATAATATAAGACAATGCAGACAAGATAGCGAAGCTTCAGCTGCAGTAAAGCATAGTTGTTACAGAAAAGATGAAGTAGTGCTGGATCTCTTCACAGAAGATTTGGGATCAAGTCTAATTGGTTCATGACATTCTCTAATGTGAATTCTGAAATAACTAAAATTCACACAGGGGTTTATTATTATTGGATAAAATGCAACAGAATCCAGTTGTGAATGGAATTAGTGTTTCATCAAGTCTCATAGTTTTCCATGGTGGGTGTTACAAAGACAATTTTGCTGAAGATGGCAACAAAAACCAGTATACTCACATATGAGATTTGTTTACAGCTCATAAACTTCATAATACATAAAAACATATATTTTAGGCTAAGCAAGTACTAAGGTACAGTATATAAACACAAGAGAAGAAGCTCTTTAATTGAACTGCTACTCAACATAAAACTGCTGGTCTGACTACTATATGTACAATAGGTGATGATAATGGTTTACTCATCATCTGAAGCACATACTGTAGGATAACACATTCTTCCACATGTAAGATGCATGCTATGCATTTGTTTTTTAAATATATATCTCAGTTTTCTTTTAAAAATAACAATTGTACCTATAGTATATTGTAACACGTTACATGGTTTTCTTAAGATTGCATGCTCTTACCTGTTTTAAGCCCATTATGGTAATAAAAAGAATCTGAACTGCACTTTGTAGGTAAACTTAAAAAAGGATCTGATGTTGTCAGGTGAAGACATGGACAGCTTGACTTGCAATGAATTATACATGCTTTATTTGTAAAATTCATGGATACCAATATTCAAAATGCCAATACTGTGGAATAAAGGCATATTTTACACAATATAAACCACATCTAAGGACAGAGACAATATAACGATGTAGTGATGGCAATTTACAAAGTGAATTCTGAACAAGTAAGCTTAAATTTTATTTTTGAAAAAACTAGAATGATTCTTATACTCAAAGGCTCTTTGAGAAAATCAATATCAACAAACATGTAAAGAATAGCTTTTGAGCAACTTTAAGTAGAAATTACACAAAATAATATGTATACTGTTTCAGTATTCAAAATAATTGATATTTCTGTAGGAATGCAAAGGGTTGGACATTACCCATTTGTCTGGAACATTACTTGGCTACAAATGAGCGTTGTTAGCATAGTATACTGTATAAGGCATAAAAAGCCATCTGCTTTGGTGTTCTACAAAAAATTGTTTATTTAATTTCAAGGCTCTTTGAGTTACACTTTTCTCCAAAAATAAAACAAAGTTCTGTTTAGCTTTTAAATATGCTGCATGAGTTGGTGGCACATACTGGAGAAACATTAAAGAGGAATGAATCTCAACACATCATACCCACACAAACACATAGTGTACTTACTTCCAGTTGGAATCAAATCCCTTTCAGGAATGAAGAGTTTATACCCATAGTGCTTTTCCAGGACATCAGGCAGGATTTCAAGAGCAAAGCGTTCCTCTTCTCTAGTTTCTTGACCCCATTGTTCAGGGTCCACTTTGGTGTAAGACAGGTATGCATCATAGTCTTTGTTTTCTGGTGATATCAAAACAATAACAAAAAAACAATTCCATTTATTTGAATAAATTGAAAGAGAACAGGCAATCACCTTTGCATTGATTGTCTGGTTTATTTTTATGAATGATGCTTGTGAAAAACCAGTGCTTGGAGGACTGGGGTATACAGCTCATGCTGATAGATCAAAGCAAAAAAAAAAAAATGAAATAAGGAGGAGGAATTGGTTGAGACTGAACACTGATAATGTTTTTCAATGGAATATATGCCCAAATGGAATATAACGCAAATGGCTTGTTTCAATGGTTTTACCCCATGAAGCACATTAACACTTTGATGGGGTGGGATTTTTCAAAAGGTTGCTGATGCTCCCAGTGGTGCTATTGAGTCAGAGTGTGGCATTGATCTTTGGCATTTTCAAAAGGTTTAGACTCCCACCAAGGGAGAGCTGCAAAAAGCTGGAATTAAATTGTGCCTTTGGTGCACATCCGTTTTATTTCTTACTTGGGCAAGTAAATATTCATGTTAGTTTTTCAGAATAAGCACTGGAAATCTTCACAAGATTATGCAGGGTGAAAGCACAATTTTGAAAGGCCAAAGGGCCTTTCCTTTTAATACTGAATGAAAACGAATATTTATTCAGATGGCTGTTGTGATTATGGTAGTTATTGTAACTTCAACAACTGTATCATGTGGTTGCTTGTTGGTTTACTGGTGATTTATTCCTGTACATCTGAGATACATTATGATCATGTATTCTGACTTTGCAGTGTCTTTGAGATACACATCGTCAACTGTAGCATTTTCAATGGACTGTATCTGCTGAAAAAAATAATGTTTTTAGTGGGTTTATAGTAGACGGGCCCACACACAGTACCTGCACAGGGGCTCTGGTTGCAACATTTTTTACAGCAGATAGGTAAACAGTAACATCATCTCCTTTTGGCCACCGAAGCATCCCAGTCTACCTCAGCTCCCTGGTATTGATTTAAGGCTTACACAGTCTTCCTAATGGTGTACCATGGAATAATGAAATAACACGATCTCTGGAAATGCAGTCAAAGTACCTTTATTTCTTGATTTAGAAAATGGTCTCCATTTTTTATGGTTATCTGAAACATAGCAGTATCAAAACGACAGCTTTTTGTTAAAATGTCTTCCTTTACTTGGGCACTTTTGTTTCGAGAACACTTAGCCATCTGGGATCTGGGGGGGGGGGGGGGTTGGCTGGATTTTGCATTTTGAACTAACACTGCTCTGATAAAAGGGCAGTGCCAGTGTTTAATGTATTTAATTGTACAGTATTTCATCAAAGATTGTTTTCGAAATTGTCTCCAAAAATGATGCTTGTATATAGGAAACCAAACTACTACTAAAGTGTAATTGTCATTTTTGAAACAATGTTAATGTCTTTCGGCATGCTTGGTGCATTATTTTCTAAACATTTTAGTTTCGGGACATTTTGATATCCAGTGTGTTTGCCACTGCTGTGGATTGCTCAAAGTACACTAATGCCTTAGTTAAGCAAGACCTGTTTTTTCTTATCCTGTAGAATCTTACTACCATAAAAGATGATCCTCTGTTGAAGTTCTAATTATCTTTTCCATGACCTTGCATGTAATGGAATTAAGAGTTATTGGTCTATAATTATTTCATTCAGTACTGGCACCACTGTTTATGGATGGATGTTGGAAATTTCTCAGACAGCAGGTATTAGCCTTGCCTTGCCTTCGTTTTGCGATACAATTGCTTTTTTAGTGTATGAATAATATCTTTTGTTTCCTTAACTGCAAAAGTTAGAATACCATGAAGCCCTGAAGACCTGCTTTGTTAAGTGCTTATACAGTAATACCTGTATGAAGTATAAATGAAGTATTTAATGAAGTATTAGCTTACAGTCTTCAGCTGCTGAGGGAAATCTATAGTTATGTGATGCTTTTAATAAAAATAAGTATTCTACTTTAAAATTATGGCAGCCAAAATCATAGATAGATGATAACCACTGATACCAAAGGCAAGGAAGGTCATCAGGATTTTTTGTTCTCTATCATTTATTAAAGTAAATTAATGCAACATTTGTAAACATATGCAAAAGTATATTAAAGGTTAGTCTGCAATGTACTGTATTTCAAATTTGTGTGGTCGGCATGTGTGGCATTCTTTATCTTTATTTTGGGTTACATTTGATCTATTAAAGGCTTATTAAATTATACACAATCATATATATTATATACTGTATAAGTATCTACTGTATGTATTCCATGGCTAATTGTGTCTGTTATACTCCAGTTGCAGTGGCATCCATTGGTAACCACTGAATGGAATATAAGAAGATTAACCCACAAAAGTAACAACACTACTCCCAAGTCCTGACATTGGTGATACTTATGTATTAGACTAGACTTCATCTTCTTCCATTCATGTTTAAGAAGGCAGGAAATCCACATGTTTGGTTGGTCAGGTATGGATCTTTATTTAGACTGACCAGGGCCCCTGGGTAATGTCTGACAACTGGACATTCACTTTGTTGAACTTATCATTCTGGTGTCCGAAACAACTAATTCTTCCTGATGCATCGTTCCCTGCCCAGCCCTATAAGTTTGGACAACTTTATGTATAAAAGAATACCTGACAATATGTTCTTCAGAATTAGGCAGAATGCGTTTATGTCTTTGTTTTATTCTCTGGGGGGTGTTCCATAATAAACTTATTCAAAAAGTACACCAAACTCCATTGTGACTTCTTCCATCCCTGTACTTATTTCCTGTTAATGTCAAGCAAAGCCTTCATAACTGGTTTCCTATTGAGGAGTATATCAATTAGTATTACTAAAAACAAAGCCCTGACCTGACTGTACAGTATGTGCTACTGGTTAAATTTTATTACTATTCATACTGTACATTAGTTTCCAACCTATACCACCTGAAACAGACTAAGTAAAATTAGAAACACGTTGTACATACAAGTAATAGCAATTATGTATTTTTCTGTCTAAAACACAAAACAAAATGGCTAAAGCAGCACTTAATAGGATTAATCCTGCATACAACGAAAAAAGTAATATTGTAGGCAAAGCACAGACATGTTTTTCGACCTCCGGAAAGAGATATAAAAACAGCAACCCACAAAATTTAAAAATATATTCAAAAACGTGAGGTGCAAAAGAAATGAAATAACAAAAAAGATGTCTAAAGAGAAGAAACCTCCAGATACCTAAAGCTTACAGTCCCCTTCCCCTAGGAAAACTAATTAAGAACACAAAGGTTTTGAGCAGTGCTTGTGTTCTCAATATTCTAACGAATGTATAATCCTGAAATGTCCTTTATCCTCCACAACAAGACTTGTTCCACAAGCTGTAGAGGTGTCTCTGTCATTATGAAGGCAAAAAGAACTGCTCAAAAGAGTCGAGAGGGGATTTAGTCATTTTGCTTCCATATATGGCCCCAAAGGGATACAGAGATGATTATAGGAATTTTTGAAAAAGCAGAGAATAGCTCAGAGCAGTACAGTTTTGAAGGCATCACCACTGACAGGCTTGGGTTTAGCTACAGTACACATCGAGATCAGTGAGCCTGATAAAGTGATGTTATATACGGTACAACAGAACAGCAGTGGAGATACAGAAAAAGGAGTGGAAGAAGGGGAAAGTGTTGTGGAAAACATCCCAAGATGTGGAAAAGAAGCCCCTTCGTGTACTCTTACAATGTGCTACTGACATTGCATTTAAATAACAGTATTAAAAATAAGATACAAATATTACCATGTCTGCATTAATATTACAGCAAAGATCTACTAAAATATCAAAAATAGTTTTGTCAAGAGTTATGTAAGCCACTGGTGCAAACTCAAGGAAGCAAGATCCATTTTTGAAGTGGGGAAAAAGACGTTTTAACTACATTTATATACAGTATCTCTGCAGATTTCTGCAGATAAAAGAGGAGGCTTTTTATCCTATATTGTGGATATCAAAAATATTGTGCAAAAACTTTTAATAAGACAATAACAGTCACAAGGTTATTTTAAAGCTTCCTGTTTTACTCTAGATCCTAGGAGGATATGAAACCACTCTACATGGACTTTTATAGATTGATTTATAGTTTTCAGCACATACTAAAAACTCTACTCAATTGCACCCTAAAAATAAAACCTACTAATATTAATGTATTTAATATCTTTAGTTTGTGGGACATATCTTAAAGAATTAAGATGATACTGTCATTCTTTCATGTGATTACAACAAGAAAACCTCATCAAAATACTCTCCAATTGTGTTTTTCTGATGAAAAAACATGATTTTGATTGTGATGAACACTCTAGAGGGTGAGCACAGCCTGCAGTTTTGTAATAAGGACATTTCCCTGACTTTTGTTTCTGTTTTTTAGTTTATTGATTATGACAAGCAGGTAACACTCTGATGCACACATTGAACATAGGAACACAGAGAGTAAGAGGGGGAACACAGTCTAATCAACCTTAAAATGAAGAAACCTATTTTCAAGATGTTTATAAACAGTTTAGAAGCTGCTTTCAACCAAACAGTCCAATGCACCACAAATTGATAGGTATGCACCCTGCTGAATAAAGCCGAAGAACAATAATATTGTAAACATATTTCTGACTTCCAGCAGTGTGAAATGTACTGTGCTTTATCATGGGTTTAATTAGCTGTCTTGCATTCATAATATGCTTTTTACTAAGAACATGAATATTACAAGATTTTTCAACCATTCCTTAAGAACTTTTTTGGTGATGCCTTAGTACTATTCATATTTGGAAAATGTAGCACACATTAAATGTAGAAACAATATCCTGTTCTTGGGTTTTCACATAAATTAATACATGGATCTTTGCTATTGACCTGCTGTTGTTGCACAAGACTTTATGTACTAAATAGAGCTTGTTCATTAATTGGTAATGTGAGAGCTTAAATTGAGGCTCTTCAAATAATTGCACTTATAATATGGTCTATTCTAACCTGTTCTTTTTCAGGACTTTAAGATCAATGTCAATGTCCTTAATTA